GCCCCTCGCCTGTGCTTAGCGCCGGTCCTCTTTGCGCCGTTTTTGTTGGTTTACTTGCTGGTGCTCAGAAGAGAATGGGGGAGTGAACCTGGGGATTCCCTCAAAGGAAACCACTAAGCATGGTTTGTAGCGGGTATAGGCAGGGAATCAGGGCACCTCTGGGGAGGTACCTGGAAGATGAAATTCCTTTTGTGGGACCCCCTCTCAGTTGCCATGTTATTGGGAGGGAGGGTACTTGCTGGATCCATAGGCCGGGAATCAGGGAATGAACCCAGGGGTTCCCTGAAAGGAAACCATAGACAATGGTTTATGGGGGTCATTCAGTTTCTCACTCCCTGCTGAGAACCAGCAAGGATTGGTTTAGTGTTGATGTATTCCTTGGTGTTGCCTGAGTGGCTTAGAGATGGTCTCGTTGGGTCGATATTCGGAGTTGTCTGCCGGGGAATTCCTTTCAATCGAGAGCCTTGCAACTGTTCACGTTGTTGAGTATTAGGGCCTCGGCTGTGCTCTCTTCAGGAGAATTGCTGGCCCGGCTCTTTTAAAGAAGGCTTAGAGGAAGGATTTGCAGTTTGGGGGCACAACTTCCCGAGGTCGGAAGAACCAAATAGTAGAAGACACATAATGAATCACAGGGTTGGGTTGGATGAAACTGGGTCACATTTCCTGGCGTTTGGGCGAAGGGCAGGGTTGGCAAAAGATTATGCCCTAGTTTATGTTGTTTGCGTGAACAAACGCACTTTCTTGTATTAAGCGCCCACTTTCCTTGCTGGTACCTTTGATAGATCAGCTACCCGCATTAGTGCAAGCGTGTTTGGAGTAGCTCTGCTGCCACACGCTTATACTGCAACGGAAGCCACCGGGCGGGGGGTTTAACCGGGTGCAGCTTGTGAGCTACTTGCAAGCCAAGCATCTCACGGACGTTACCCCAAAGCTTAACCGCCTGCTGTATGTTACCTTGGAGGCTGGTCTAGCTGTGTGGGCGATCCTTGTGCGCTACCATTCACAAAGCGTGTGACTCATCAAATGCGGAACTCGGACTCAAGGATTTGTGAGCAATGCCAAAACTGTTTGCCGTTGATCAACTTCAGTTATTACTGGCCTTGAGCTTTTTGGTAATAGCCACCCCTTGATGATGTTTTTTGGCATGTGGTCTTGCTGTATCCTTGGTGCAGCTACGTTGTTTTGACGGCGCATTTGGCGGAGGGCAGGCCTAATGGTTCCAAGAGAATATGCTCTCTGGGGAATCGCCTTATTGCAGGCAATTTCGAGATACCACCTATCTGGTTTGTTTGGGATGATTTTGGGCAATTTCCCCAGGGTGTAATCCGATGTAACAGGACAGTCCTTATGGTGCATTTCTTCTATCCTGGTTCCCCAGTTTCGAATCCGCCTTGGCGAAGTTCTTTTGTTCTTTCCTGGACACGGATTCTGCAGTGCAAATCATCCACAATGCAGTCGGCATGACTTGCAGTTCTGAGCACTGACACCACAGGGACAACAGCTGCAATTGGATTTAATCCTGCAAGTTAAACACCATCAACAAAAAGCTCCACCGACGATTGGTTTCATCCCAGAAAGAGCCTTCCTGGTCACATTGACATTGTGGCCATTAATTTTAAAGAGGAATACCTCAAATGGTGGTGACATTACCCCTGAACATGAAGTCCACGAACTGGTTCTCCCGCAAGACTCATACTCATAGCCACGCATCTTGGGAATAAACTCTCGCGGTTGTGTTTTCAGCCAAGAGGAAACCAGGCCCCGCTCGGGACCCAAAGTAGAGGAAACCGACAGGATGGGTATATATTTCCAGACTCCCCATTTGGCACACCCTAAGTTGGGTTTTGGCAATGCCAAAAAGCCTGAGGGGATCGACGAGTGCCTCGCGCACAGCTGCTTTGCGTCTTTGAGATCAGCGCCGATTGCAGTTCGCAGCTTGGGCAAACTCAGAAGACCTCAGTTCGCGGGTATGAGCTCAGCCCACCGATGCTGAAGACTTCAGGCTTACACGAGGTTTCCTTAATTCCGCGTAAATACATAATAATCTATTTGCAGATTTGCTGTTTGGTTTTCTTCAACTGTGTGTGTCCCCCTTTGAGATTTGTTGCAAAAAGCTCTTAAATGGAAACGCAGTTCCAGGTTTCGGAACTCGTTTGACATGGGTGGATCCACAGATTCGACCCACCTCCAAACCCCTGGGGCCCCCCCCCCAAGCTGCCGCTCTCCAGGCGACGAGTCGGAGGCCTTCCCAAGCGCCCCGCGCTTGGCCGGGGACTGCGCCTCGACTCCGATGGGGGTTGGCCGGTGGGCCCGTTCCATTTCGAAGGTCCATTTTACGACCCATGAAGCAAGGGCCTTCGGAGCAATCCTAACTTCTACCTCGACCATGAGATGTGACGCCCCAGACAACGGCGCAACGGTTTCCTTAAGGTTTTCTTCGCCCGGCAAAAGGTGCCACAAACAGAGGTCCAAAACTCCAATCTGGCCTTAGATGGGTGTTTTCCCTGTTTCAAGAAACAATCGCAATGTGTTGTTTCCCAGCCAGCAAGCATTGCGACTTGCGAGCGAAGAGCCACTCAGCTTGCGGCACTCGGTTTCAGGAGTCCAACTCCATCGACTGGCGTCCCCTTGCCATGGTGAAAGCCGCCGGAAAGGTTGTTGGGGAATGGAATCTAAGGGGCTAAACACAAACCCACATCACTTTGAACTTTTGGTCGTGACACATGGCACGGTACACAGCCTTCCCAGCGAACACTGAGGGAGCTTCGGAAACAAAACATGGTCCTCCACACCCTTGCTCCAACTGTTCTGCGTCGTGCTCGTCCTAAACAGCCGGTTCTGTGGTGTCGCTTTGCTGCGCATGCGTGTTCTGTTTGCTGCACATGTATCGTGTTGGTGTGGGGTTTGGTATGCGACTGGTCAGTTAGTAAGTACCTCGGTACCGCAAGATGAACAAACCGCAGAGGACCAGCCGGTTGTACCGTTAGCCACTGGTCTTCTGGAAGGGTTTCTTGTTTACGCTGCCGTGTCTGCCTTTCATGTGCCATTAGATGGGAGCAAACGTACTTGACACGATTGAAATATGCATGGATGTATATAGAGCTGTAGTTGAGATAACCTTGTCTCAGCAAAGTCATTGTAGTTTATGTTGCTTCTCATGTGAAGGCACGCTGCACGCCGTTCGCAGTTGTCGCACAAGCAAATCACAGACACAAACTCCAGGCAAGGTATAGGCTATGTTGCGAACTGAACTACATCATGGCTATTCCCAAAAAACAATAATAATACAGGACTACATCATAGCTACACACTACTTCATAAAATATGTAACGATAGTCAGAATACATGACTAACAGCTTGGTGTTTTGGCAACCGGAAGTACGGCCTCAGGTTACAAGGAGCCAGAGTGGGTGTGCCGCTCTGTGGAGGAGTTGCTCGAGGCAGGCGATGGCTTGGAACAAGATGGTAGGTTAAGGGTCTGAGAAGCCTTCCAAGCATAGGCGTCCTTTTTGGTTGAATCGGTTTAAAAGTAAGGACCCTGTTTACCTGGTAAATTCAATCAACTACCAGGGCCATCTATTTTCCCAAAAAGGACACCTATGCTTCCAAGTGCAGAAATTGCTGCCTCCCGAGCCATCCGGCTCCTTGTGGTTGTGTCCTTTTAACCCGCTAAAAGTTAAACTTTTCGGAGGGGATTTGAAGGCAGTCCGATCAAGCATATTCTATGAACCTGTTTCGGGCCTGGAGCTTTTGGTTTCCTCCCTGACAAATTAATGCAATATGAACCCCTTTTGCAGGTTGAGTTGCAGAACATGCAGACATGATGTAGATGTAGCTGCACGAACATCCCATAGTCCTGATCAATGGATACCCTGGACGTTGGTTACCTTTTGAAATCCCAAAAATGCTGCCCCAACAGCCGCCAAAAAGGCCGAAGGAATACAGATAAATTGATGAGACCGGTGTTCCCAAGAGGTCAGGCGAATCCTTATCACAAGGCAACACTTGTACGGTGCAAGACATGCAATCAATTTCCAGCTCATCAACTTGACCTATGAGAGCAGCTGGAATTCCGAGCATACTAATCGCGGTGAATCCTGCCAATTTTATGGGGCGTGCGACAATGGCGGTGTTTAGCATTCGGATGCTTGCTCGTGTCGAGAATATTGTTAGACTATGCCAAGTGCAAGTTCTGTGCAAACATTGCTGGCGTGGCGGCTTATCGATTGCATCATCGTTTCGACTAGCACTAGCTAGGCCGGGTTCCGAGGTGACGTTAAACATTTGGATCAAGACAAGATATTGATCTGGCCTATTGTTCCATGGGAAGCTTGTCAGGGGCTTTTGACAGAAATCTAGTTTTGCACCGGGTCCGCATTTTTTCCAGATGTGGACAGTTTCCTATGCCCCGATGTTCCGCAACCCACCCATGTTCCGCATTTCCCAGGCGCACCGTAGCTTTGCGCAGGCGCAAGCTGAGCCTCCGATCCTCGGGGACCCGTACCGGGAAATCGCGGACTTCAGTTGCGACCCGTGCCCCGGGATGTCAAACTGGACTCTTGCGACGGTTTGGCGCGCAAACGTTTGGGGGAGAGGGGGCCTTCAAAATGGGAGGTTGACATTTGGTGTCCCTTCCAACAAGCCAACGAAAGGGACCCACCCAACAAAGGATACACCCACAGGGGTGTTTGAAGAAAAAGCCAACCATGACCAGATCTGCTGGTGTCGACCTCGATTCGTATTTTTAGCGGATTTATAGGTGTTATTTTCCCTCAAGAGAAAACGGGGCACCCCACATCAAGCAGAGGTTTTGTCCGTCGACATGTTGGTGCAATGCTTTCCTGTTGACCCCCTCCGACCCGATGTGGACAATGTCCGGACACTTTTGTTCCAGGAGGGTTTTCATGTGCCAAGGGCGTCGCAAGGACCCTGCATGACTTATGATCAAGGATCATTGAGGCACGCAGATGGCGGGTTTTGACGCAGGTGGCCTGCATGGACTTTGGACAGACATGCAACCAAAGCAAGGGAGCGGAGAGCAAAAGTCACTGGGATTCATGATTTGTGTGGCTTCTTCTCAATAGGCAGTTCGGCCATATTTGATCCTTTTGCGGCGGGTCCTACTCAGCCCACATTCCGTCAGGAATTGAGCTATACTTCCACTTTTGCCAGCAGTAGGCGCGACTAGCAGATCCTGAAGCACTGCATGCAGCGGTTCCAGCCCTCGCCAGCTCGTTGTTTGGTTTTTCCCATTGTGGGGGGTTGTTGCCACCTTTCCTTCTTTCTTTCTTCCCCTCTTCCCCTTCCCCCATTTCCCTCTTCCGTCAGTCCCCTTTTCTTCCTCCTTGTTCTTCTCATTCATTTAACCCCCTGCTTCACCTCTTCTATTTCCCATCTTGCCTTATTCTCCCTTATTTCCCTTCTTTCGTTCTGCTCCTTCTCCCTTCTCCCTTGTTCTGCCTTTTTGGTCCTTCTTCTTCTGTCTTATGCTCTTCTTCCTTCTTCACGTTCATGATTTGTTTGCAACTGTTTCCCTTTAGGAAGAGTTCGACCGTTCGACCTGCCCCACCTGCATGCCACCTGTTCAGTTGTCTCAATATCAGGGGACCCAACACTTGCTGGTGTCGGTTTAGTTTGCCAACCAAAACTGGGTTCCCCCAACCACTTAGACACAGACACAAACGGGAAAGGACACACTCCTTTTCACCCTGTGCCTGATGGCCAACCATGTAGAACAAGCCGATCGACGTTTTTGATCCACTTCTCCTCCATTGCGCGCGCCCAAATCGCGCATGTGTTGTTGTTGGACTGGCTGTGTTTGTGTATGGGTTTTTGCTTGGGTCGCCGCAGCAAAGCAACAGCTTCTATGTACCACAGCCACTGGTGCGTCATTGGTGGGCCTTCAGCAGCTTAGATTTACTTGTGACATGGGGGTTGATCAATATTCCGTTCGACCCCCAAATGACATGAGTAGCTTTTGTCCTATTTAGTCTTGAAAGTCATCTTTTTTGGCCGTTTCCATGGTGGTCACCTCATGTAAAGGCCCTTTTGATCAAGCCTCACATACTGGATGGCTGACCCATGATTTAGTTTACGCCGGGGGGGGGGGGGGTGAAAATGCAGCGTCTAATAGGTACCACGTCACTGAGGAGATATGTCAGGCCTCCAGCTGTTTGGCAATTAACACTTTGAGCTAGAGGTTTGAGTGACTGTGACTCAACACAACATACGCATGTGAATCACAAAATGCCAGATATACCCGGATGGAAGTTCAAGTTACAAAACAAAGAACAGTTCGAAGTTTCGAGGCCTCATTTGCCTTTGAAAGAAGCCTGTGTTTGACCAGAGGTACCAGACACCTGCAGAAGAGCTGGCCAGCCTCCTTAGTGACGCTCCACCTCCTTTGCCGCTGGTGCGGGAAGATAGGACAGCGGACATGGGTGTTCCGTGAAAGTCTGCGTTAACCAGCAAGGACTGCACTCCCAACAGCAAGTTCGTAGAACCTTCTTGGATGTGGCTTTTAGAAGAGTCCTGAGAACCTGTTTGGGAGTGGGGTCCTAATGTCTCTCCTGATTTATGAACTTATCCGTTGATTGGGCCTCTAGCGAACGATGCCCGTTGGTGACTGTTAAACAGACGGTTTCTGTTAGCATGGGCGTAAAGTAGCCACGTGAAACCTGTCGATGGATCTCCGTTTAACCAGACCGCCAGACATTGTTTGACTTAATCCTCCAAATTGATTAGTAGGTATGTGATAGGTGGGCCCCATAATGGGTGGCTTTCTCTTGGTTTCCCTTCAAATCATCCTAGCAAGAAATACACCCAACTCCAATCTCTCTTGAACGCCCATTCGACAGCGGGTCCAAAAAGTTGAGTCACAATTATATACCCGGAAACTTGGCGCAGACATTTAATTTGATGGGCTGCTTCAGAGCTTGGTTCGCCCTGGGTGAATCCACTGAATACAATGCATTGTCAGGCTTCCAAGCTTTCGTGTCCTTTGGGCAAGTCAGAAAAGGGCTTTTTGTTCAGCAAGTCCCTCTGAGTTTGCCTTTTTGGCGCCAGACAGGGACCCCAACTCCAGTGACCAGGCTCCCTGGTTGCCCTTGGGTCCCGATTTCGACATCAACCTCTCCGTGTGCGAAATGACGGTGTTTAGCACGGGCGTCCCAGCTTGTTGCTAGCTGATCGTCCGACTTCTCGTGAGTTTGCCGCAAAAGAAGCCCATTCAGATACCACGCAGGCGTTGAATGTCATCATCATCATCAGCAGCAGCAGCATTATCACTTTGTCAAACAAACATGAGTTGGATTGGATTTAACATGTCGCGAAGTGACCATGCATGCGACCATGCATGCGACCTGACCCCATGCACTAGATGGCCCGCTATTCTGGAGTCTGCAAATTAACATAGAATTCACCACCAGTTGGTAGAGGAACCTGCGTTTTGTGTGATCCAATTCTTGGATACTTTCTGCTATTTTTCTGGATTGCCACACAACAGTGGGACTTTGCTTTTGCACCAATACAAAATGTTTGTGGACGGGGCAAACAGCCAGCAACGTGCACCATGGATTGGAATGGCACATTTGCACTCGTTGGGCACGACAAATCTCTAGGGGTGTCGTGTGTCCAAAACATGTAGTGTGTCCTTATAGCAATGGCGGCGCAGGACAGAAATACGACGGCAACTGGGATGCACGATGGCGTTTGCGTTGCCAATCCGGCTTGGGACGGGAGGTGGATCAAGCAAGGCTTCGAGCCATTGTGGGTATGGTTACGATATGTTGCCTCCCGTGTCCAAGATCCGAAGTACTGTCCAAGAATCGTTTTGTTTTTTCTTTGGGGGGGGGCTGCTGGTAGTGGCATGTTCCCTCTGTTTTTTTTGTTTTTTTTGGCGGGGGGGGGGGGGGGTGGGGTTGCTGGTAGTGGCATAGTAACTTTCAACCCAAGAATTCGAGTATGTTTGCCGTCGTTCGTGAGAAAAGCGCTGCTCAGGCTCGCCCATGCCCCCTCTTGACTGGTGGGCCCACATGCGCAAGGCCTGAATTCTGAAATCAATGAATCGATTAAATCATTTGAGGCAAGTGGCGCCTAGCTTTGAACACAAGCCTTTCCGACTTTCCAGACGCCATGCATGAGTCTGTCTCGCCTCAATTTTGCGCTAGCACAGTCCTGGGACTTGGTGCTATGTCCCGAAAGACCAAGCTGTCACAGCATCCGTCACTTGGCCGTGTGCAGTGGCGCAACTGCCAGATCAGCCGGCGACCTTTTCGGTTAAGATGGGTTCCGTTTGTCTACATTGGGTTTTATTCCATTTACCACGGCCATACCTAGAGATTCGTTGCGGCAGAAATTTCTGCCGCAAATCAAAAAAGGCGCCTTTTTGGATTTGCGGCATTTCTTCCTGATTTGCAGCGTTTTTTTAGAATTGCGGCAGAACTTGTTTTCAGTTTTTTCTACCCCCCGATTTGCGGCGGAAATCGGCGGGAATGCGGCGGAAATCGGCGGGAATGCGGCGGAAATTCCCGGAAAGCAAACGGTGTTGCGGCGTTTTTGTTTTGGTTGCGGCGTTTGTTTTTGTTTGCGGCTGATTTTCTGGAATGCGGCGGGAATTTCCGCCGCAATGCGTTGCGGCAGATATTTCCGCCGCAGGCAGTTCTAGGTATATTTGTCCAAAAGGTCACCTATGCAGCAACAAGGTCTACTGGCTGTTTGAGACGCAGCGATGCGCCTGCAATCGTGAATATGTATTTGCCTTCACGACGATCCCGCCGGCCAAAACAACAACAACAACATGAAGGAACAACTTTTATTTCAATCTTGGGTCGCTGCAAGCTATTCCTCCCCGAAAGCGTTTAGAATCGCATGTTTGCAGATAGGACTTTACCCCGTTCGAAGTACAGAAGCTCATCAAGTGCTGTTTGGGGAATCAAACACCTACGGAAGAGCGTGTTTTGAATCAAACATCTAGGTTTCTTACTGCTGCTCGAGTAAGCAATCTGACATTGCGCTCGGACGGTGCAATTTTTCAGCTGATTGGCTTCTGGCTTTAACCTTTGAGATGTTTTCGCTACGACCGGGGATGGATGTTTTCCGGGCAAGATTTCATTTGCGACCTCACACAAGGGATGTGTTCACGCCTTACAAGCCTATGAGGTCCCTTATTTTCTGGATTCCGCAAGTCATTCTGATGCAGTATAAGAATCTACCCAGAAACATGGTTCAGTGCACAGGATCCCTTTGCAGGTTGTCGTATAGTGCTAAAGCCGTCGGCAATCTTGGACTGAAAGTCCCTTAATGAGGTTCCCTTAAAGGGTTCCTTGGTACTTTTCGGGGTTTGGAAGGAAAAAGGAAACAACCATTCTCGTGCCTCCTTAGGTACTTGATCCTTGGATTTCTTTTTGACTGCTATTGGGTTGGATCTTTAGACTTTCACTTTTTGGGAAATCAAGTTGGGTTGTCCACTAACCCCCCAAAAAGTTTCAAGCTTTTTGCAGGGGGGTCCTTCCAGCAACCAAGTCTTAAAAGAGTCCGCCACGGGGGCGGCACTTTCCGGATGTCGGAGAAATCTTTTTCAGGATCGACGAGGCCTGGCAGGCAGCACGGAGGCAGGGGATCGGGCGAGATTCCGTCATTGGGTTTTCCAAGGTTTCCTTTGTCCCTATGTCAAATTAGACGTGACAATACTTGGTGGCTCCCAGCCATCCGCTTAGCGTTTAAGCTTTTTAGTGTTTAGTGGTAGTTTCCATTTAACCCACTAACAGTTAAACTTTGAGCGGGGGATCTGAGGGCAGCCCAGAATAGTAAGACGTGCTGCGTTGTCAAATTCAATCCTTATGCCAAATGGTTGCAGTTTCCCTTCGTGGTGTTACATCACGGATCTCTGAATGTGGATTAGGGATCCCCCCAAGTTTGACCAACCGGACAATTGTGTCCTGTACTTCTGCGGCCCTGACAAAAGAGGGCACCGTTGCTCACTGAAGCATCTCCTTTTGGTCCACTTCAAAGGGAGTTTCTCTATAGGCACTCTTTTGATGGATCTATGGAACCCTAGTTGGCAAACATGTCCCAGCGGCTGTGCGGATTGCCCGTGCTTGTGTTCACTTCTTATTTGAGGTGGGCAACTTGGTGTCCTTTGCGTTCTCTGATTGGAGAAGTAGGAAGGGGTTTCAGCCCTTTTTCGAGTGACTCCGTAGTGAAGCGACCTAAGAGCTTTTGGCCGCACCACACGTTGTGTTTCATGTTCCGCTAGGAACCCCTTTTTGCCAGCAGTCCTGGATGCATGCGCCTTTCGGGGGACCAGTTGTGACCTCAAGGAGGTTGGGGGTGCCGTGTGTGACAACCTGACACTCTAAATGGAGGAACCCTCGAATACCAGCTCTCAATAGTACCCGCAAAGAAAGGACACCCAGGTGATAAAGGACAGGTCCCATCTTTTCCGCACATAATTTTCACGGGCCCACACAGGAAAAGAGTTCAAGCCTTGGCTCGAAAGTTGGTCAGAGGGTTTGACGTTTGGATCTCAGCGCTGCACAGCCCATTTGTAAAATCAAAATGGGGACAGGAGTTGCTCCAGACCCCCAATGTTATACCCAGCTGCGAAACTTGTAGATGCCTTCACCCTTCCGGAAAATGTCCGGGGGCTAAAAGTGCCACCCTCTCTGTAGACCTTACATTCTTCATATTCACAGGTCAACGGGCAAAACCTCGCTCCCTTGGCTCACCAAAGCGCAAAATCGAGCGCATCTCTAGGGGAGATGCCGAGATTCTGAATTTACGGGCGTGCTGGCTGTCTTGTGGCTTGAAAAGGCATGTGTTCCCAAGCCTACGTACGTCTACGTGCATGTACGCACATGCGTTTGATGGTTGTCATGCCATTTGTGGTATAGTTTGGACACAATTTGGCATTTCACAGGTTTCTAAAAGTGAAGCCACCAACAGAATTGTGTTTTGCTTTTGCAACTCAGTCCATGTCTAGTAAGCCTCCAAACATGTCAACGTGACTGTTGAAGCCCAGGCATGCATTATCTGAACACATCCATACCACGTCAAAGCGTGTGTGTGTGTCACCAGTGTGTGTGTGTGTGCTTTCAATCATATATCGACTCATGCTGAATTTGCCTCAGCCAATGCAGACATGGACGCGCACACGGGCCGTGCACTCACCGCCCGTGCCCGAAACCCCCGATGTCCGCAGGCCGCTTGTTTGCGCAGACAGACAGACAGACAGACCCGCGCGCACAAATATACGTGAGTCGCTAAACATGCTCATTTGGCCCATTTGGCACGGACCTTTTTAAAACCACAAACATTTTCTGTGTGTTAGCTCTTTTCGGACAGGAACACTTATCCAAAGCATCCGCGATTGAAAAAAATCAATCTCGATCTGCGGATTTTACCTGCGATTGAATTTTGGGAAAACTGCCCGCGACTGTGTTTCCTTTGCATTTTCGCGATTGAATTTGTCAACAATACTCCGCGCTGTCGCGATTGAATTCGGTATTGGAGGGCAATTTTGGCGATCGAATTTCAGAAGTCGTGATTTGCAGCGATTGAATTTGAAAATCGTGTTACTGGCGCCTCGAATGCCTTCTGCACGCGTAGGACTGCATCCTTTAGAGGAGTGTGCTTGAACACCACCAAACACGTGCCAAATGATCCGATGCACATTGGGAAGATTGACTCCAATTCACGCAGACATGCATCTTTGTCAGTGAGCTTCACGTGTGCTCGTCGCCCTTCTGGATCTCTTGGCTCGCAGGGTGAAGTCCTGGCTCAAAAAGTAGCGGCTGGTCGTGGAGGCGCCCGGAACTGGAGGAAGGAGGATCTGGACCAGACAGCGCTGCTCCAGGCCTTCACGCAGCACGCTGTCCAGCAAGCCGTCTCCATTCGGCCCGTACCTGGGCCTCCCAACCACGAGGGCCATCACGGGGGCGGAGCTGGTCCGGCTGTCTCCTATCCTCAGAATGTTCTGCGCGCAAGGTCAAGTTCACTTCCTGGGACTTGCTTGCGCGCCCTGTGCATCAAGTTCTGCTCGCAGCACCCATCTGTGTGCCAGTTCTTGGGACGCAGAAGTCGCTGAGCGACCATGCGACAGACTGCGCCAACACTGTCCTGACTATGCTTGCCCATGCTCGGCGTCTCACGGATGAAGTGAAGTTCCGCCAGGCAGCGTCGGGCCTCACCACATCGGCAGTGCAGGTGCTGGAAAGTCTCCAAGACCACTTCCAAGTGCAGCGGCACCAGCCCCCATCAGACGACGAGGCTGAGGGGGGCGACTCCGGCGCCGGGGTGGGAGAGGTGGACTTGGACTTTCTGGCGTCACAGGAGCTGCCTGCAAAGCGGCCAGCGACAAAACATGTTCTGAAGCGGCCCGCCCAGCGTGCGCCAAGCGCAGCACATGCCAGGAAGAAGCCCGCTGCCAGCAGCGCGGACATCTCCAAGGAGGAGGCTCTGCAGCAGTTCCCGCAAGGTTGCAGCAAATGCTGTCGTGGAAAGCCGGGCTGCTATCCCAGCTGCCACAAGTATCGTGGGTTTCGCCTGATTGAGTAGCTGATGTGCCCCTGAACAGACGGTTTTGGTCGTGTAGGGGATCGCTCCGAGCCAGCAGAAAAAACACAATGCCTGAGTGGCGCAGGTCCTAGGGCAATGTAGGACATTTTGCGCACGCCACTTGTCATGCATCTGGATAGCTTCAGCCTCAAGCCAATCCTTGGGCGCTGAGCAGCAAGTGTCGCCGGCCTTTGGGCCGCGTTGGCCTTCGGGCCTTCCGGCCGCTTGCTTGGCCTCCGGGCCGCAAAGCAGACTTGCTGGCCTTCGGGCCGCTTGCTTATGGCTTTGCTGGCCTCCGGGCCGCAAAGCAGACTTGCTGGCCTTGCTTGTGGCTTTGCTGGCCTCCGGGCCGCAAAGCAGACTTGCTGGCCTTCGGGCCGCTTGCTTGTGGCTTTGCTGGCCTCCGGGCCGCAAAGCAGACTTGCTGGCCTTGCCTGTGGCTTTGCTGGCCTCCGGGCCGCAATGCAGACTTGCTGGCCTTCGGGCCGCTTGCTTGTGGCTTTGCTGGCCTCCGGGCCGCAAAGCAGACTTGCTGGCCTTCGGGCCGCTTGCTTGTGGCTTTGCTGGCCTCCGGGCCGCTTTGTTGTAGCTGCGCTCCGGGCCGCTGGCCTCCGGGCCGCCAAAAACATCGCTGGCCTGCGGGCCGCGCACAAGGCAGCTGGCCTACGGGCCGCGGAGGCCGCTTGACTTGACAGCGCTAGCTTCTGGGTCGCGATCACGACAGTGCCCGCTGGCAAGACAAAGCGTGCGCTCCTCCGTGTCCAACTTGTTGCGCCTGCATGTGCACACATGGGTGTTCCCTTTACCAAAAAGGGGTCCACCATTTTGAGACACCCTCTCTGCGCGCATGTGTTGCTCTGCTGCCGTTTTGGCTTGGTTTGTTTCATGCTTCGTTTAGCCCGCAGAATGCGCCCGCGCGCCAAGCTGACACCGCGGCGGCCGACCAGTAGCAGCAGCGCCGACCAGAGCGACAGCTATTCGGAGAGCTCTGAAAGCGAGTGCTTGTCGGAGTCCGCCATGTCACCGCCTCCGCCAGCCCCGGGGCGATGCATGGGCCACTTGGAGACCAGCCTGCAGGCCCTTCGACTCCTGCCAGCCAAGCACGCAAGCGGCGCCTCCTGCCAACACTCCACCAACGGCTCTCCCCAAAGCTGCGCCAGCTGGTCCAGCAGAGCTGCCTGCTCTCCCCAGCGGCTCGGTACTCCAGGCGGACACGCCGGACCAGCGCCGGCCTTGCTCCCCGCAAGGAGTCGGAAGGTTCTCTTCCGCTGGCAGCTGGGGAGCCGGAGGAAGACCATGCTGGCCGCCGCAAGTCGCGCGGCGGCGCGCGCAGAGTTGCGCGCTCTACGGACACGTCCCAGTGCGGCACATGCTGGCGCTGGATCACGAACGGTGGGTGGGCAACAGCACCATCACCGCGCCTGCGCCCGCAAGGCCGGCGTAGCAGCTGAGCAAGGCGCTGATGGCCCGCAGCCCGCTCCGCCTGCCAAGGCGGTCAAGAGTGAAGTCAAGGAGGAGGAGGAGGAGGAGGAGGCGGTGTCGGAGGCCTCGGATGTCTCGAAGCGCAAGAAGAAGAAAGCTCGCCGGTCCGCTCCTGACCGCGAGGTGGATCCCAGGGACCGCCGCGGCCCGCTGAGGCGGCTCTCTTTGAGAGAGCTGTGTCGGCGCATAAGAGCCCTGGGCATCGGGTATTGATTCTAATCAATATTCTCAAACTCGTATTGATATTGATTTTTTCCAGTTGCAAATTATTGATTTGAAAGCCTCTTAGATCAATATACATCCGACCTTTAAAATCAATATTTGAGCAGCTTTTCTCAAGCCAAAATCAAAGCAGGGTCTTTGGCCAGCTGCTCCTGTTTTGTCAACAGGGGAGCAGCAAACAGGTTGCACTTTTAAGTGTCAAAAGCTGCTGGTCAAAATGAGCTCTACCTTTTTTTGTCAAAAGGCTTAAGCTGAACAAGCTGCTTTAAACAATTTCTCATTTCTTTTGTCAAGAAATGGTTGAAGAGGTACCCCCTTGTCAAGGGCAACTTTCTTTTGTCAAGATACGGTT